GTTCTTTAAAACTGTACATAAATCATGTTAGTTTGACAGGGAACATCACAATCTGTAGAAAAAAAATAGAATGTATGGTGAGGAGTAAACTTCTTGAAGTTGTGTATCTGTGTTGCATGGCTGAATAGGCTGCAGGGGGTCCTCCTCAGTACGACAGACACTAAAGGCATTTAAACCCTGCAATGTAAACATTGCAGAACAACCTTTTACATTGCTTGGTTAAGACGAGAGAGACATGGCACCTAGATAGTTTCCTTGGTCTTAATGAGAAGGGCCCTGGTTGCCTTTTTTCCTGCAGGTTTGCTGCCATAACAATGTTTGTCACATTCCTTGCATGTTTTACTGTGAAATGTTAAAAGTCCACATGCATCACCAATTTCAAACAATGTCATGTTGTACATTATACACATATTTCTCAGTCAGAAACATTCCCATGTATTCAATCACTATATATCCTTCCTCTGCCCCAATACATTAGTTCTCTCTTAGTGAGTTTTATACACAGAACATATAACATACAAAAAAAAAACTTCACATTCGACTTTAAGTCCTTGTGGTTTTAAAACATTGACTTTTCAATTTATACAATTCTTTTTACAAAAGTTACTTGACTTCTACGTGGGAAGAGGGGTGTTAAAGAGGGACGATCACTTGTGAGAATTTTACAACCAGATAGTCAAATAAAAGTTTGTTATCGGTTGGGCTATTAATATAATTTTTTTAGATTACTTTAACCCCTTAAGGACACATGACATGTGTGACATGTGTGACATGTAATGATTCCCTTTTATTCCAGAAGCTTGGTCCTTAAGGGGTTAAATAAAAAAAATAAAAAATGAAAATCTCTGGTTGCTGCTTTCGTTAATAATAATCTACACATTCTCACAAAAGTAAGACCTATTCCTATTGGACATGGTTGATGCACTTTAAGCCTAGAAGCTTGTTTAAAATAATAGGGCTATTCACTAAAGAAGGGTTTGTCAGAAAATCAAAGCATAGACAGGCTGAAAACATAATTGTCTTGTTGAATTTTTACAATATTACCTTTTGACCTTAAATGCAATTCTCAACAATTAATAAAATAGTACATAGTCCCGTAGGTGATTAAGAATACGTATATAAATAATCTGCTACTGGTAAAACGATCAAGAATTTAGAAATCTATACAGCGTCCTTTTCTCTCCCAGTCTCCATAGCGAGTAGGCTCTGGTCCTTTAGGTCCACCTTTTTCCTTTGTTATGGGATTGACATCATCTGGGAATCCTTTAAAACAATACAAAGAAAACAAATGTACATACCAGTACATAGATGAAGCACTAGAGGTTCAGATATAAAATATTTGCACAACCCATACTGACCCTCTCACATAGGCAGACTCATGGGATATGTATTATGGTTATTTACTAAACGCACAACTATACCACATTAAAACGAATTAGAGGCACTAATAGCAGATTTGGAAAAAATATCCAACTCCGCTATAATAGCTTGGCTACTTTAGACCCATGCACCACAGGCTAGTGTTTAAAGGAACACTATTGCACTAGGAATACACATCTGTATTCCTAATGCTACAGTGTCCCTGTCTCTACTCTTACTAAGGTATCAGGTGCATTCAAATAAAATAAAATAAAAAATCTAAGATTTACTCACCTTTTTCCAGTGCTGAGACTACCTTGGCAATGCTTACCTGTTTGCTTCCCTCAACCTAACAGATGAGGCATGGCCTCCTTTGCCTATATCTAAAATATATATTTCCCCATTGTATTGCACTACTTACAGCTTTGAGAGAAATACAGGGTTGTGGGTGGTCTCTCCGCACAGAGTAACAGTGTTCACTCTATTGTTTAACCAGGAGTTGCCAAGAGAATTTCCCCTCAGCATTCAAATGGTGGTCCAGAGAGGAATCCACAAGAAACGACATCTAACGGCCCAGGATTTTGTGGAGAAGCACCAACTTCCATTGTCTGAATTCTCCCGGGCTAACCAACTTCTCTACTTTAAGTGGAAATTCTTACAAGCTTATCCGTTTGGGGGAACCTGCTTTCTATAATCCATCTGACATTTCCATAAGAAAATAGGGCTCCATTCTTTACTGTAGTCTGATGTAGTCTTACTGATTTATCTACACCAACCACAGTATACTTCTAAGTGGGAGACTGACTTGGATGAGGAGCTTGAAGGTGGACACCAACATCTGCAATGCATATCAAGAACTGCTTTATGGTGTTGGCCATTTCACCACTCTTGACTAGCTAAAATTAGGCGACTGCTTCCGCAGTTGTGGTGAGGAGGGTACGTACTTGCAGTCCTGGTGGCCATGTCCTAAGATTAAACCATTGTGGGAGTCCATTTTACCTAATTACTATAGTGCCTAGACTTAACTAGTTCCTGACCCATGGTTGGCACTCTTGAATAGCCCATAAACTTATCTGCTCTTAGGATCTGTTTAGCTAAATACTAGAAAGTCGTGCAGCTCTCCCAGGCACATGCTAAAAGGTCATACCTGATCAAAATGGAGTAGTTGACTGTAGCCATTAATTAAACCACTGACCAATTTCTGAAAAAAGAATCCCCTTGGATGGAGGTATTTCCCCTTCTGGGTCCTAATTTGCATCTCCCTTCCTTCTCTTTTTTATACTCCCGAAACTAGATGGAGTGTTGTGGGGATCCATGGGGGGAGATCTGCTTCACATTAACTTGAACTTGGCTCCTTATCTGCTTTCACTTTCATTCTTTCCCCATCTTGCTTGTCTATATACCACTACGAGTTGGGGAGAAAGCCCAGTTCTTTCATATTTTGGAAATCTTGTTTCTTAGTTTCATTTTGGGTCTTTCTGGATATGTGCACATACATAGTTTCAACATCACTTTTCTGTCGATTCTCTTGTTGTATTGAAACAAAAAATATCAATAAAAACTTTATATATCTCCAATTAATTGCAGTTTATTTAGGAATCGTCAAAATCGTATACTGCAGTGACTGCTGGTTTTGGGATCATCCTCTATTTAGTGTTGAAAATATTAGTTTTCTTAAAATGACAAATTGCAGAACTTTCTTAAGGGAACACTACAAACACCATGGCCATTTCTGCTTTTAGAACTGGTCATGATGGTAGGAGTCAGTATGTGAAGTGTTTCTGAATGAAACAATGCACACAATAAGATATTGGCACTCGTGACACCGAACTTATTCAGCCCAAAAGCCTGTTCCAGACTGCCTACTGTAAACTCATAAAATACCTATGTGTTCAACTTGCACTGCACACTGGCGACGTATTGAGCTTCTCCTGCCTGCAACGGGAAGCAAGGATATCCTCTCCATCCCTGTGGGCAGCCCTTCTGTTTTTTTAAACTTTTCCTCCTCCCTCTCCCCAGGTCAGAACGCATGTTCTGAGCTTGTTAAATGGTCCAATCAAAGGCTTCTCTATGTGAAGCCTTAGATTGTACCTCACGCAGCTGCTGTTATGGCAGGAAAGGGCTTAGAAAGTCACACCGGTAACTTCGCCTGGCACTGAAGTTCAGGTAAATAAAACTTTTTAGGAAGCATCCTAAAGAATAATGCCAAATAAAGTATTATTCATTTAAAAACTTAGACATTAAGAGTTGGAGTAACCCTTTAAACCCCACATGGTTCAACTATTCTAGAAAAAAAATTAGGCCAAATAAAAGTATATAAAACACTTTCCTCAGGATGCAATAACTGTTGCCTGAAGATTGCCAAGCAAGTGGGTAGAAAGGATGGTCCAAGAGTGAGACAGCAATGGGAGGCTGTGTTCACTGTAAAGCAGATGTGGGAAATTAAAGTGGTAGGACAGTTTTGCAACACAAACATCTATATATAAATGTAGACAATGCACATACAAAGTGGATTTCTTTTCGAATTGGGTAACATTTGGTAAAGTAGTTATATTCTTACTTTCTAGAGAGTCTTTCTGCACACTAGACTGTTCAGTTTCATCAAATCGCCCTTGCGGTGTTTTCGGTTTTTTAAGAGGTTTCTTGGTTGAGCCAGTGGTCTGTGGTGGGATACTGGTACTTGTTCTGGCAGAGTGCCACACTCCTATACACACTGAAATGTAAACAAAGACTTTATATTAAAGAATATAGAGGCGCAGCCTGTTCATTTATGGAGTATTTTAAGACATGAGCAGTACGTTTCTGTCAAACATATTCACTAAAGTGAGAACTGCAGGGAATTCACAAATAATTTCAAATGTAAAGGGACACTCTAGACCAGGGGTCCTCAAACTTTTTAAACAGGGGGCCAGTTCACTGTCCCTGAGACACTGTCGAGGGCCAGACTATAGTTTAAAAAAAATTTGAACAAATTCCTATACGTACCGAAACAGACACATGCAGACACACACTAACATACATTCAGACACAAACACGCATGGGGACATACATACTGAAATACATACAGACACATACATACAAACACATACATACTGACACACACAGAGACACATACAAACACACACTGAAATACATACACACAAACTGACACACATACATATAGAAATACATACGGATATATACATATAAACACGTACATACTGACACACATACATACATCCTGACATACTGAAATACAAACACACACACACACATACTGACATACATATACACATACTGACATACAGACAGCTAATTTATCTTACTTTTTTTTGCAGGAGGGTGGCTGTGGCTGATGGGAGTCGCTCTTCCGTCCTTGCGGCCTGTATTTCTTCCTTCCCGCGGGCCATAGTTTGAGGACCCCTGGCTCTAGACCTTTAAAGCAGAGCTTGACAAATTTGTTTGGAATCTAGGAGCCAGCTAAAATAGTAAGGAACCAATTTTTTTTTTTTTTAAATGGGACACTTGAGTCACCAGAACCACTCCAGATTAATGTAGTTGTTCTGGTGTCTATAGCCTTTTCAATGTAAACGCAGAGTCCTGTGTAAGTGCTCAGTATGGAGGCTCTTAATGCTTCCCATAGAGAACATGTGCAATATCCTCTCAATGCTTTTCTATGTGAAAGCATTGGCTTAGCTGAGATCATAAATGTTGATGATCTCAACTATGGAGGCGGGACAAGCCACGGCGAAACCAGCACAGAGTTGGAAAAAAAAGGTGAGTAAAAACATCTCTCCTGTGATCAGAGGGGCAGGTACCTAAACAGACACACACTTACACACTGACAAGTTGACAAAGACATACACACACACACTGACAGACACACACATACACACTGTCACAAATTTACATTTTTTATTTAAATCCAGCCTCCCTACCTTTAGAAGAGCTGAGTGGATCTTTCCCTGAGGTCAAGTGGGGCTGCTCTTCCTGTGTGCGAGGGAGCATTCTACCTGCCGCTCCTCTCTACTCCCTCGCACTGTCTGTAGTGATGCCGGGGCCAGAATTACGTCATATTCTGGCACCCGTATCACTGTACAGAGCAAGGGAGCAGAGAGGAGCCGCAGGTAGACTGCTCCCACGTGCGCTGCCCCAGCCTGCTGTCTCCATGCAGTCTAGGGCAGACGCCTCCACGATCTCTGAGCAGGCCGCTTTCATGCTCTCCAGGGCGGTCGGCTACATACTCCCCAGGGCTGCCGGCCCCATTGTTTGCCCAGCCGGTAAAAAGTTGACAAATCCCAGGCACCAGGGCGAAATTTTGAGTCGCCATGGCAACCTGGGATTTGTCAAGTCCTGCCCTAAATCACTAAAGCTCTGAGTGTGCTTTGGCTACCTCTTGCCTGCCTTCCCCGCACTGAAGTGGTTAACAGGCAGAGCAGCTTTTCACAGCCCTGCAATATTCACCCCTGCCCCCCTCCACAAACAGACACAGAGAGGTAAACTACTTAAAGTAGCCAGGTCTCTGCAGGGAGGATTTATAGAGGGAGAGTAGACCTGCCAGTAATGAAGATGGGATCACCTAGGGACATAAAAATAAATGTTTGTTGTAAATTTATATGTTAATTGTATGCCTGAGTTTAAATGTCTGTGTACGACAGTGTCTGTATGTCTCTGTAAGACTGTATGTCTCTGTATTATATTTATATAGCATCATCAGATTCCGTAGCGCTGTACAATGGGATGACTGTGTTTGTTGGTGTCTGTATGTCTATGTATGACAGTGTCTATGACTGTATCCGAATGTCTGTGTCTGTATATCACTGTATGTCTGTATGTAACTTTCCGCTACCAAATGTTACGCAACATCTTGTGATGTTGTGTCCAGTGACATCACACATACATATTTAAGTATGCAAATTAGCATGGCCTGTACTTTTTTCCAAGAAAGGTGGCAACCCTATGTTTTCATGTATTACAAGAGAACTTGGCTCTTTTATCTATTAACCTTGTTACACTATAGTTTCCTTTTAAATGAATGCATGTTTAGTTAGTATTTCTTTTTGGTGTAATAACTAAACGAGTGATTTTTATTTATTTGGGCAGCAAAATAGCTGTTTAAAGTGCAGTTTTAGTAGTCCTCCCTGGCACCATGACAAGATTGGAAACGGTTGTCACCGCATAGATTAACTGTGTTACCATGTTAGCGGAGGGGATATCAACCAGGGTCATATAATTTAATATGTAATCATTCCTGTACACATACAGCCAGCACCCTGACTGCAATCCCTGCTAGCTGACATCGCTACACATTGCCGGCCGGTGTTATTATACTCAGTGTGAGCGCATTGCCGGCCGGTGTTATTATACTCAGTGTGAGCGCATTGCCGGCCGGTGTTATTATACTCAGTGTGAGCGCATTGCCGGCCGGTGTTATTATACTCAGTGTGGCGCATTGCCGGCCGGTGTTATTATACTCAGTGTGAGCGCATTGCCGGCCGGTGTTATTATACTCGGTGTGAGCGCATTGCCGGCCGGTGTTATTATACTCGGTGTGTGCATTGCCGGCCGGTGTTATATACTCAGTGTGAGCATTGCCGGCCGGTGTTATTATACTCAGTTAATGCGCATTGCCGGCCGGTGTTAGTTATACTCAGTGTGAGCATTGCCGGCCGGTGTTATTATACTCGGTGTGAGCACATTGCCGGCCGGTGTTATTGCATTGCCGGCCGGTGTTACAGTGTGAGCATTGCCGGCCGGTGTTATTATACTCAGTGTGCGCATTGCCGGCCGGTGTTATTATACTCAGTGTGTGCGCATTGCCGGCCGGTGTTATTATACTCAGTGTGAGCGCACTGCCGGCGTTATTATACTCAGTGTGAGCGCACTGCCGGCCGGTGTTATTATACTCAGTGTGAGCATTGCCGGCCGGTGTTATTATACTCAGTGTGAGCATTGCCGGCCGGTGTTATTATACTCAGTGTGAGCACTGCCGGCCGGTGTTATTATACTCAGTGTGAGCATTGCCGGCCGGTGTTATTATACTCAGTGTGAGCATTGCCGGCCGGTGTTATTATACTCCGTGTGAGCATTGCCGGCCGGTGTTATTATACTCAGTGTGAGCGCATTGCCGGCCGGTGTTATTATACTCAGTGTGAGCATTGCCGGCCGGTGTTATTATACTCAGTGTGTACATTGCCGGCCGGTGTTATTATACTCAGTGTGTACATACAGTAAGTGCCCGCACGGTAGGTTACAGTATTATTCTATGACACTTACGTTGTACAGACCGACGTACAGCCCGGGCTCCCGCGGACCCACATACCGGATAGGAGAGCGCCAGAGCGGCCATCCTGCGGTGACCTCTATCGGACTCAACGACACTTCCTGCTATCGTGGGAACTTCGACACGTGGGATAAATCGCATAACGCGATTGGTTATCAAAGCCAGTTTCTAATTGGCTGCTATAACCAGACGCTGATTGGCTAGTATAACCAGCCGCTGATTGGCTACTATAACCAGCCGCTGATTGGCTACTATAACTAGAGTGGCCGGTTAGTTCATAAGTCTGATTGGATGATTGTTAAGTTTTTATCCGTGACGTCAGACAGTTCAAAACGCTCTGCTGAAGTCCCCCAGTCTGCCACATCACTACATGACGACATAAAGAGGATTAGCTGCACGTCTGGGATGTAATGAACTCAGTGGATATATCACTGACTACCCAACAACATCTCACAGCAATCCCTGCACACTGTGCTTGTAGGGTGTTTGTGGGGTGGCCCAAGGGAAGGGCTGAGACAGTTTAATTAATTTAAAGTAACAGAGATACAGAGACACAATGCTACCCCTGCCCCATGACTGGGCTGTACCCTCTCCTGCACTTACCTGATCCCACACTGGGCACCTATTGGGCATCCAGGCTTTCCAAGGCAGCTTGCTTGACTCTGAACTAATAATTAAAAGGGTTAATTCTGTTCAGCGGAATCATAAGACAAACAACATTGTACATTGCAAGGATGCCACCATGCCTGGAAAAATATACCGCCCATGCACGTTTGCATTATTAACCCCTTAAGGACGTTGACATGCGCCCCTTCAACGTCCACATATACCTGGCAAAGGTACATACGGGGGTATTGCTGTACTCAGATGACATAGCTGAGCAACATATGAAGTATTATAAAACTGTAGCACACATAAGGTTTGCAAAATATACTGCGCAAACTCACTGTGTATGTCAAAAAGACAGAAAAAACGCTTATTACCACTACACTTGGTACAAGCAATTTGCCTTTTGAAATACCCTCGGGTGTCTTCTTTAAGAAATAGTATGCCTTTTTGGGGTAGTTGGAAAAAGCAGCCTGCTAACATATTTCAAAATAGAATACAGACATATTAAAGGACCAATATAGTGCCAGGAAAACATACTCGTTTTCCTGGCACTATAGTGCCCTGAGGGTGCCCCCACCCGCAGGGTTCCCCTCCCACCGGGCTCTAGGGGGTGGAAGGGGTTAAACTTACCTCTTTCTCCAGCGCCGGGCAGGGAGCTCTTCTCCTCCTCGGCTGAATGCGCTTGCGCCCACATTCAGCCAGTCTCATAGGAAAGCATTCACAATGCTTTCCTATGGACGCTGGCGTCTTCTCACTGTGATTTTCACAGTGAGAAGCACGCAAGCGCCTCTAGCGGCTGTCAATGAGACAGCCACTAAAGTCTGGATTAACCCTATTATAAACATAGCAGTTTCTCTGAAACTGCTATGTTTATAGAAAAAAGGGTTAACCCTAGCTGGACCTGGCACCTAGACCACTTCATTAAGCTGAAGTGGTCTGAGTGCCTATAGTGGTCCTTTAACCCCTTAAGGACCAAACTTCTGGAATAAAAGGGAATCATGACATGTCAGACATGTCATGTGTCCTTAAGGGGTTAAAACCCTCCATGTAAATTCACACTTAAAAATCTGAACTTGTCACGTCTCTTTTACAGCACTGTAATTAGTGTCTAGGTCATACATTGGGCTTATTGTTTTACTTAGAAGAGGTAACTGAGCATACTTAGGGAGAATTTATGAAAGTGGCACTCGAGTATAAGCCAACCCGAATATAAGCCGAGGTACCTAATTTTACCTCAAAAAACTGGGAAAACCTATTGACTCGAGTATAAGCTTAGGGTGGGAAATGCAGCAGCTACTGGTAAATTTTAAAATAAAAATAGATCCCAATAAAATTACATTAATTAAGACATCAGCAGGTTAAATGTTTTTGAATATGTGAGTGTGTGTTTGTGTGAATGCAGTGTGTGTATATATAATGCAGAGTGTGTGTGTAAATGCAGTGTGTGTATATAATGCAGAGTGTATTTGTGTGAATGCAGTGTGCGTGTGTGTTTGTGTGAATGCAGTCTTTGTGTAGTGTGTGGGTGGTGGGAGGGCATTTTTAATATTTTAATATTATTTTAATATTTAATTTAAAAAAAAAATTTTGTCCCCCCCTCCCTGCTTCATACTTGGCCAGGGAGGGGGGTATGTTAATCCCTGGTGGTCCAGTGGCATGTACTGTGCAGTGGGGGGGGGCAGCAGCAAGCTGTTACTTACCTTTCCTGCAGCTCCCGTGTAAATCTTGCGGTCTCCGTGCCGCACGGAACTCTCGGACAACCGCGGGACTCACGAGATTTACACAGGGGAGTTGGAGGAGCTGCAGTAAAGGTAAGTAACAGCTTGCTGCCGACCCCCAGGACCGCCGGGCTCACCTGGTCTGTATTATGGCAATGTAAGTTGCCATAATACAGACCCTGACTCGAGTATAAGCAGAGGGGGGCTTTTTCAGCACAAAAAATGTGCTGAAAAACTCGGCTTATACTCGAGTATATACGGTAAATACCCAGCGAAAATGCAACATTTATTTTTTTCTCACCACAAAATTTAAAATAAATTGGTGAAAAAATGGTGGCAAGTTAAGGTATGATATATGAATAATAGTAGGTAACAAAAGCCTACATGTACTAGGAGATCTCTTACCGGATGATATAAATTAAAAAAACTCTAAAATATAATCAAAACCACTTGTAAATGTATGAATTACTGAAATAGTAAAATGTGCAAAAATTTCTTAGAATATCAGAAGTTAGAATATAAAAAACTGGTTGTAATATGCATAAATACACTAGGTGCCAGCCTTGCATAAAAGAATCTGGTGTAAAAAGGGTCTTCTACTAAACAGCAAAAACTCTGAATATACAAAGTGTGAAAAAATTTCAGAATTGATAGTCCAATAAAATCCAAAGCGATTAAAAAATAGAATAATGTCTAGTAAAGTCTATGATAAGCAATGTTCTTTTAGTGCAACAGTACCAATATCACATCTTACACATTGTGCTTCTCCTCAATAGAATAACAGTAGCAATAAGTGTCAGGTTGTGAATATAATTTAACCAATGCTGGTGTATATCAGTGAAATCTCGGATAGCAGCAACAAACTAACAGTTACTATTATACCACCAATACAGGTATATAGTACTACGATCTCTAGATGATCAGTAATGTTAGTAAAAAAAAGTCCAAAGTGTTTATATTAAAAATTCCATATTTATTGAAATTGAAATTAAAATTAGAACACACTCACAGAATAGAAGTGTAATGTCCCAGCAATTGAGTCCTTGTTTGGTAAGAAAGTCGGGCGATGGTCAGCAATCTGAGGGAGAACTTTCTCTGGCCGGTGAGATCTTACTGCGTTAGTGGAGGTGAGACACCTCTCGCGTGTGTTCCACTCAGTGCGCCCGATTTGCGTTCCACGGTTGCTCGGTAGCTGGATCGATGTACGGCAATTGCCGGAAATGCCTTACGCATTTCGTGACAATGCACAGTCACTTCTTCAGAGGCGGATGAACATGTGATGCTGCTGTTCCATTTTATATAGTAGTCCCTGGCAGCACTATTTATTGTCAGCTGCTCATGTAATGCGATAAAAAGTCAGTTTCAAGACACATGGACGATAATAAATATCAATAAATAAATGTCTATATTTAAAGTAGTTCACAAACAACAATTAACCATTAAAACATACCATATTTGTTTACTTAAATCAATTGTATATTGCTATATTACATCCTTACATTCAAATATGCAGGGTAAAGAGATCGAAAAAACTCATCAATCAAAGGGTTATAATATTCTCTTTCTAGCCCATAATAATTTGATCATAAATATATATTTTATATAAGAGCTAGAAGGGTTCATAAACGTTAGAGCCTGGAATTAGAAAAAATACTGTATAATCATATCAGACCTTACAAGGATACTGATTCTTACTGGGACGGAAATAGTTAAGTCATTAGTACCACTGATGTGTCTATTTTCTGTTTGGTGCTCCGTGTATCACCCTTTCATTAATAGTTAATAATGGGAAAAAGGTCATATATATCAAATGATAGAAAGAAAATACAGAATAAAATACAGA